TATCAGGTTTCGCTCCGAACTGCAGTGGTTAGGTGTCCACAATCGCATATCTTACTCTGTTTTGATGAATTATTCATTATGCGATAATTTGTTTTTTTTTTTAGTTAGTCAAAGATACGCCTGATTGGTCTCGTGTATTAGAAAGAAGATTTGAGGTAGATTACATATTCTTCTCTTTGATTAGTTTTTAATCAATAGTATTTAAATGTATCAATTTATAACAGAATCGGGTTTTAAGTACTCGTCGAGAAAATAAGACTATGTATATCGAGGAATGCTTTTTTTATGGGAAGCGGAGAATAATTTTACCTCTGACCAATCAAAGCTGGAAGGTTGGTTTCAAAGTAATGTATGGAGCAGAATAATCGATCCAGCATTTCATAATACAATATTTGAATTATTAAGAGGTGAAAGTATGAGCGTCGCATCAAGTGACAGAAAGAATGATGGTAGAACGGCTTTTGATCGCAAAAAAAATAGGAAAAAAGGGAGATGGAATTTTCAGAATCACGGCAGATCGCATAGAGTTGGAGCCATAGAAAATGGGAAGGTCTAAACGGAACGAAATATTTGAAAGATAGTCTGAAGTTAAATAAGATGTTAAAAGACATGATTACAAATTTTGTTTCTGAGTGTAGTTTTAATGCAAGTAGGCTGTTGCAAGTTGTTGGAATATTAAATGGGGAACAGATTGCAAACGATCGTGATGGACACAACATTTCCCGTGTTAAACGTGGCAAAATTTAAATTTTACGTGCAAAAGCAACAATTGTCAGAACTTTGGACTTGATCAATAATGATAAATTGAAGATCGGAGATCTACACTTCCATTTACTTTGCCTAAAACGTTCTCTTCACCATACAATAAAAGGACGCAAGATAAATCGAAATGCAATTTTAACCACTAAATTCATTTACTTGATGTATTTACAACAAATATAAAGGATATTAATCGCGACTCGATAAAAAATAAACAGAAAAGGCTTGAATTGGTTGCACTAGTGATGCCGACATAACGTTTTAACAATACTGTGTTTTGGGTTTTGTCACATGATAAACCTGAT